CCCCCCCCCCCCCCCTTTTTTCCCCCTCTCTCCCGCCCCTGATTGCTTCTACCTACAAAGTGCCTAGGAGGTGAGGCCTATAGACTATACGGAGTAGACTGTATTAGTAATATTCCTACGTGGATATACGAGTATATAGTGGGGAGTGATAATAACCTGTAAAGATACCCGTAAAATGTACGGATACTCTGTATAATACTCCGTATAATACTCCGTACAGGCTGCTGCTACTATTTATAGCCTTCTCCTCGTAGAGATCACCGAACCCATATCAATACTGCAATGCATGCTCCGTCCTCCGTCCTAGTATCGTCGTCACTGCCATGTAGACCGTCCATCCTCCCACTTCCGTCCGTGATTCCTGGGGAGGGACTGCACTGCCCGTCACTTGTCTCAGATCGTTATGCTCCGCAGGAGATTGCCAGGCAGACTGTCAGCCAGCTTGTCAGCTTGTCAGCCTAGCTCCCAACGTCAGCTTTCACCGATCCGAGGCATGTCGAGAGCCACCTCTTGCTTCATTCCTCTCACTTCTTACCCGATTCCTTCTTCTTCTTCTCGCTACGCTCGCACGTACAATCTTGGATACTTTCTACTTGACTATGCCTCCGGCCGCCCTACCGGGGGCCCCTCTCGCTACGCTGGTACGATACACTCGTAAATACACAGTTGTGAATATATATATATATATGTGTGTGTGTGTGTGCGCGTATACATCTGGCCGCCCTTCAGATTATACGTAAAGCTACCAAGAGTATGTTCAATAAAAGGGGACGAGTTTTTTTTCTTTCTAAAAATATCGCTATCTCAATACAACATTCCACAAACCAACCCCCCCCCCCCCCAACACACTAACCATGAATGATGAAGAGGAAAAAGGAGAATGAAGAATGAAAAACACATGAAAAAAACATAGAATGATCAAAAATTCAGTGAATAGAACGAAAAATGGAAAGAAAAGTAAAGATATAAAAAAACTCCTGGATATTCTTCTCTCTTTATTATATATATATATATATATATACATATATATAACAAAAGAAACCCTCTCCAAAATTATAAGACAACAAAACGACAACAGCAATAACAACGACAACAACAACAACGGCAACGGCAACGGCAACGGCAACACTAGATGATCCCACCGGGAGGCTCGTAAGTCGAGTTCCCTCGGTTGGAACCCCCGATGCCGCCTCCCGAACCGCCGCCTAGCGTCGTCGTCGTTCCCGGAACGGCATCCCCGTCCGCGTTGGCGCTCGTCGTCTTCCGGAGCATGAACATGGGCTTCTTGCCCTCCTTGTCCAGCTGCTTGAACAGGATGAGCGGCTTCTCGTCCATGCCGAGGCAGCGCTCCTGGTCCCCGTACACGATGTACAGCGCGTACTGGTCCCACGGCGCGTTGATCTGGTACTTCTTCAGCGCGGCCGGCAGCACCTTGTGGCACGGGTCGTCCATGCTGACGCGGAACGACTTGAATATCTCGACGGACGCGTTGCTGTTGGCGCTGCCGCCGCCGCTGCCGCCCGGTGTTTCCGGCGGCGCCGGCGTCTCGCGACGCTGAGGTGGTGCGCCGCCGCCCATGTTGCCGCCGCCGCCGCCGCCGCCGCCGCCGCCGCGGGAGGACGACGTCGTCTTGTCGCGTACGGACGATGACGGTCCGAGGCTGGTCGAGTAGTCGGCGTCGCTGCGCGAGGTCGGTGGCGGCGCGTCGGCCGCTCGGTAGGACCGCGAGGCCAGCGTGTTCATCTGCGTGTGGGGGGATGTGGGGGACGGCATGTTCGGCGAAGGGTAGGGCGGGGTCCCGCTGCTGTTGGGGCCGGAGCCGTTCATGGCGGCCAGGTGCGATGACGAGAGGACGGCGCGCTCGGCCGCCCCCGCCGGGTCCAGCGTCTGCTCGGCTATCGACCGCTCGTGCGTCTGCTGCGTCGGCGACGTGCTCTTGGGCATGGCCCCGATCAGGATCTTGCGCTGCGAGTACTGCCGCTTCACCCCGCTGCCGCCGGGGGGCGTCGGCGTGGGCGCCGGAGGTGATAGTGTCGACCCGTCGTAGCTGTAGGCCGGCGTGCTCTGGGCGCTGGACATGCCGCCGCCGCCGCCGCCGCCGCCGCCGCCGAGGTTGGGCAGCGGCTGCTGGGCGTCCTTGACCAGGCGTAGGGCCGGTAGCATGTCCTCTCTGAGCCGTCGGAAGTCGTCCGTCATCCGCCGCAGGTCCTGTTCTAGAAGGTTCATGCGCTCGTCCCTCAGTCGTAGCTGCTCTACCAGCTGTTTGATGTCCTTGAGCGTGGCCGTCTCGTATTGTGCTTCTGCGTCGGCGGCTGCAAGATTGTCAGTGTCCCTTCTTTCCTCCTATCCATTCTTCTCTTCTCTTCTCTCCCTTCCTCCTCTTCCTTGTCTCTCCCTCTCTCTCTCTCTCTCCCCTCCTCTTTCTGAATTCGTCTTCTCTCAGGGTCCATCTCCTCCTCTTTTGGGTATCCAGGGCCAGTCGGAACATACATAACGGCAGGTATTGGTCGCTCTCAAACGGCACATCCTGAGCCTTCTTCACGTCGTAGACACTCTTGAGTATGGTGAGTCGGTGGCCGACGCTGCTGATGCCCATACTCTTGAGGTCATCGTGGAGCAGAGCGACGAGTGCCTCTCCGACGATTTCGTTTTCTGTTTCACACACGCGCGCGCGCGCGCATACGCGAGATTGTTAGCATCCTTGTCTCCTCATCTCCTGCTGCTGCTGCTGCTGCTGCTGCTGAGGCTGCTGAGATCTGATTCCCCTCGTACCGATAAAGGCATCGGCATACTGCTCCAGGCCGATACTCCCGATGAAGTCGGCGCACTCGTCCGCCGTCCAGTCGGTTATGATGGTTTCGGGCAGCCGATCAGCGGCGCTGGAACTCCTCCCGCCGTGGGCGTCGTAGGTGGGCGTGTGCTCGGTCGACACGGTGCCCATGGACAGCTCCGAGTCTACAGGGGAGGCCTCTGAGTCCCCGACGGGGGAGTGGTCGCCGTGCATGCTGCGCTCGTACTCGTCGTCTGCGTCCGACTCGGCGTAGGTGGCGGTGCCGTCAAAGGCCGCCATCTTGTTCCTTTTTGCACTCTCCTCGCTTCGGAATCTCGCTCTCTCTCTCTCTCTCTCTCTCTCTTTCTCTCTCTCTCTCTCTCTCTCCTTCTCGACACCTTCTCTTTCTTTTCCCTTCGGCTTCTCTCTTCTTCCGATGGGTCGTGGGTTATCGTCGTCGTAGTCGTCGTCGTCGTCGTCGGCTTGGGCTCTGCGAAACGAATTGAGAGCATAT